CCACCTATGGGTTAAATAGTAAGCCTTGTATGTGAAAAATCCTTGTTATTTTCAAAAAAATTATTAATACACTATTCACTTGCAAAAAGAAAAAAAAATCCAAAGTATGTTACAACTTTAAGTTATAAAAAAACAATTCAGTCAATTATCTCTCTATAGCAGACACTTCTGGTGATGTAGAAAGGGTTGCACACACACACATACACACTCTCTTTACTATCAATCTCTCTGATAAGTAGTTGTAATTTCTGTTAAAACTTGGTGTAAGGACATATAATTTAATTTTATTTGTGACGCATACATACACACACCCCATATATAGATATATATAGTGTATATAAATATTATCAGTCACACACACACACACTATATGTATGTATGTATGTATATATATATATATATGGCTTATTTGTTAAATACATTAACTTGAAATATTGAAAAGACAAACAAATTATTAATGCAAGATTGTTGATGCAAAGTATTTCAATCAAACTGTACTGTATATTTGAAAGCAGCCAAAAAGATTAAATTAGTTATTCCTTTTCAGGCAAACAACCACCCACCACTCGCTTTGTAAAGAATTCCTTTGATGTTGCTTGTTTATACCAAACATATTGTTGCTAAATTTCATACTTCATGTCATTTGCTTTAAATATTATTTATTGTCAGTGCCAGTTATTGCTATTGCTATAACCCAGGCAGAAAACCCTAAACTGCTGATTTTTCAAGGCAAACCGATTCTTACCATTGAGGAGATGAAACCACATAATCTTAAAACCACTGAGCTGTATTAAGCCAAGTACAGTAAATATTAGTGTATAGTGTGACAGCAAATACTCAAGGCATAAATAGGAAGCAAGAATTTAATACATGTACTAAGGATTAAAATAGGAATAATTCAGATAAATGAAAATGTTTGTGATTCCATGTATGGCATGGCAAACATTAAATATACTAGCATATACGAGAATTCACTGAAAATTTTCCAACAACGGAAATACACTGCAAACTGTTTTAATATGAGCTGTTTATATAGGATGTATTTAAAAAAAGGCATCTCAAAACTTTTATTCTCTCATCAGGTAGTGTCATTAGGAAGTAACCATTTCTATTGTACATTTAGCCTGTGAGAAGATAGAACAAATGACAATTTGTAATGTAATTAAAATACATTAAAATATTAAAATATTTAGTCACTCATATCTCTCTCTATATATATATATATATATATATAATGCACACATACAAGTTTCATTAAAGATGACGGAGAAGGTACTACAATATAGCTTTTTATTTAATTTTTCTTGTGTTTGTATAAGTGTTGTCTTATCTGGACATGTGTAAAAATTGTCCAAATGATCTGCATATTTGAGTGCATTCAGCTATTCTTTTAGCCATTATCAAAGATTATTTTTATTTTTTACTTTTAATTCAATATATGAATTTTTTATGTGTTCATCTAGAGTTATAGGAATATGCAGAACATTTGGACAATTTTTACTCACTTTATGTGCCGTAAAAAAATTACTTACATACAAGAAAAATTAAAAAGCTTAAACACACTACTTTGTCAGTTGTCTTTTAATGAAATAATAATAATATATATATATATATATATATAATCAGGTCATTCCATAAGTTCTGTCCGAATTTTAAATAGAAAAAACAAGTGACCAAATGCTACATTTAATTACATATTCAATCAACAATGTATTTTCCCTGATTATCTATGACTTCCTTCCATCTATTAACAAGCTTACTAATTCCATTACTGTAAAATTCTTTTGTTTTAACATCTTCCTGTGTTACAAAAGCTGTTTCTTCCAAATGATTCTGTAAGCTATGAAACAAATGGTAGTCTGAAGGAGCAAGATCGGGAGAATAAGGTGGATGAGGAATTTTCTCCCAACCAAGTTCTTCAATCTTTTGTGACATGATTCTTGCTGTGTGGAGTCACACATTGTCCTGATGAAACATTACCCCTTTTCAATTCACTAGAGCAGGTCTTTTTTTCCCCAAAGCTTGGTTCAAATGCTCTGATTGCTGACAGTATATTTGAGCATTAATTGTTGCATTAGGTGGTAAGAATTCAAAGTGGATTATTCCTTGGCGATCCCACCAGATTGAAAGGAGGACCTTTTGCCCATGAAGTTCCCTTCCCAGCTGTGGCTGGGGTCCTTCCCCTTTACCAAGCCACTGTCTACGATGCTTAACATTTCGATAAAAGATCCATTTTTTGCCGCCAGTCACAAGTCTATCCAAAAAAGGTGAAACAAGTTGGCGAGAATGGAGAGAAGAGCAGATGTCAACTCAGGATTTGAGGTTGTTTTCAGACAATTCATGAGGCACCCATTTTCCAAGCTTAGGAACTTTTCCAAGTTGTTGAAGATGACGATGAACAGTTGTATGGTTTGAATTGAGAACCACTGCCAATTCCTCAACTGATAAAGCAGGATTTTCTTCAAGAAGCTTTTCATCAAACTCGACTGGATGTCCGGTTTGATCTTCATCTTCAAGTGGGGAAATCTCCACCTCTGAATTTTGCAAACCATCTTCTGCAAGTTCTTTCATTCACACATTCCTCTCCATAAACTGAGTGAATGTTTCTAGCTGCTTTGGCTGCTGAGTTTCCTTTCTTGAACTCATAAAGCATTATGTGCCTCAAATGATTCTTGGGTACTTCCATGTTAGCAGGGTTTTAATGTAACAAAATTTAATTTTATTGTTCTCTGAAATAAAATTTGATCAGTTTAAATGCATCTAAACATGAAAATAGTGTTCAGCTCCACTAGACATTATAAAATACTCTTTAAATTTTGTTCATTTTAACAAAAAGTTAAAATTCGGGCAGAACTTACGGGATGACCTGATTTTTATATATATATATATAAAGATAGAAATGATAAAAAATAAAGAGATGCTGATTGTATTTTGTGTTTGGCTATTTCTTATTGGTTAGATATGTGTCACGAAGTAACAGATAATATTCAAATATGTGTGGCAAACAATCTCGAAACTGTAAAAGTTACTTATTCTTTATTATATATATATATATATATATATACACACACACACATACATTCATATATCATATGTATATATATATATATATATATATATATATATATATGCAAACTTCATTAAATCTGACAGACAGTGCTTTAAGATTTTTATATAATTTCTCATGATATAATTTATTTCTTATTTAAAAAAAATAAATTATATCATAAATTATACTTAAACTGTCCAAATGTTATATTTTATTAAAAACAAAAAACCAACACTTAGAAAAAATCAACTATGAACATTGACACAATATGTTGACTGTATATTGAAAATAAAACATTCTATAATACTACATACAAAATTCTATTTCTACTTAACAGTTAATATATTTCAGCCTTGAAAGTAGCTAAATGTATAGCCGAAAGCACTCAGAAAGATATAACATTTAAACAGTTTTTGTATAATTTATCTACAGAAAAGAAAAAAATTATAAGATCATATGAGAAATTATATAAAAAAAAAAATTAAAGCACTTTGTCATACTTGATGAAAGAAGGAACGCTGCCTAATTACACACACACATATATATATATATATATATATATATATATATATATTTAATGATAACAAATGATTGTTCACATATGCTTCTTATAATATCATATAGTAGGCTGATGAAAAAAATCTTGATTTTTGACATCTTCTCATGCTTCCATTTGGTCAAAAGGCCTACTAATGAGTGAATGTAATATTCACAGAATGCCACATAAGGACAAGATAAGTAAATATTTTTATTTATTAATATCATTATTGTTACTAATGCTTTATATGTCGATATCATGCCTTAAAAACAGCTTCTAAAAATACTGTGATTGACATGCATTTTTTTTTTTTCAAAAATTTTTCAAACATTATTTATATATATATATATATATATATATATATATATATATATATATATATATATATTGATGTGAATGGGTGCATGTCAGAGTGGTTAGAATATCCTCTTTCCAGTCATAAATCCAGGTTTGAATCTGACCATGATCAATTTGTCAGGAAAGTGATTTCTTGAGGGTATCGGCTGGGGAGGTAGTCCCAGCATGTGGCACCTTTCGAAAGTTCCTTCAAACCAGACCATGGGTTGACCCAAGCCTTGTGATTGAAATTGGGTAGACAGGACTGTTAAGGAACTATCAATGCTCATGCTAGCACAGTCACAACTCATACTGGCCATGTTCAAACTTCTGATGACAGATTATGAGTTACTTTTCAGAAACTGTAACTAAGGTTCATTGCATTATAAACCACAGGTTAACAAATACAGGTGTGTCTGAGCAGATGTTTGCAACAGGGATTGGCTAGCTGCCCTAGCAGACAGGTGTGATTAGAAAATGAAAGTAACTGGTCATTATAGATAGTGAGAGAAAATACTAAAAGTATGAATAGGAAGTAAACACTTGTTAACATTTCCATCGTACAGATATGGAGAATATACTGGATTGACCAAAACGTTCATTTGGCTTATTAATCAAAAATGAATCAAAATTTCAACCAATGTTACTGAGCAACATATTTACCAATTTATTCTATCTGTTGTTTTCTTTGAGACAACTTCATAAATGCATGTGCCAAAATTGTTATTAAATAGCAATCTTTAATTTTTGTTACTTCAGTTTAGAGCTTTCTATTAACCATTTTTATCATACATTTTGTGCCATTTCTTCTGTTCATCTTCTATTTTTTTTTCTTCTTCTTCTTCCCTCCTGTTTTAGTTTTAAACTTTTTAAATGCAAGAGAAAAAAATCGAAACGATGTGAAAAAATATAAACTGTGGCATTTAACTTTCAACCTTCCAAAGGTTTATCTATAAAGGTTGTTGTTAAGTGGGATGGTAAAAAAAAATTATAAGTTGAGGTTAAAAATTACCACATTGTTGACATTGAAGTCACTCTAAGGTGATTGCTGGAGCATAACTGCAAAAACCTTTAGACATGATACTTGCTGTAACTTTCAGTTCATCTTGTTACTCTCATGTTACCCTATTATCGTTTGTATATCTGCTTTTTCAAATGGATAACATCCGTTTTTGGTGTGGTTGTAGCTGGATCTTGTTTGTATAATTGCATATTACTGCTAGAGTTCATTCTTGCTAGCTGGAGTTATCTTAGCACTAAATGCTTCAGATCTTTTTGCCTTAAGGTATTTTTTTCTATTTCTTGTATTTTTTCTTTTTTAAATCTAAGCAGATGATGTCCTAACAGAGAACCATACATGTGTGTGTGTATATATATATATATATATATATCATCATTAGGCTCCATACTTAGTGATTTACCTATATATATATAATATATATATATATATATATATATATATATATATATATATATATATATATATATATTATATTTAGACAGCACATATTCATCCAAACAAGTTTGATTAAAAAGAACTGACAAGGTCTGTCTTTAATTTTTGATTATATTTTTCCAATTTTTGGATAATGTGTTGAGGATTGTGCTTGAAGTTATAGATAAACTATCTGAAGTTCATATTTTGTTATTTTTGTTCAAGAACATTTGACTTTTACTGTCATTATCAAAAACCAATGTGGTGCCTGTGTGGTAGTTAGAATTCCTTTGTCTACATCCTGGTATTCTTTGGAAAGCTGGACTTTTGAAATGGTCTAGCATGACATCATGTATAATGGCTGTTGGGAAGAAGGCCATATGAAAAGAATGTAATTTATTTATTTTATATTATTATTTATTTAATTACATGACATACAGCTTCCCAAAGAATACTAAGATGAAGATAAAGGAACTACCATACAGGCACCACATGGGTTCTTGATAATAACTGTGAAAGTTAAATGTACTTGAACAAAAATAACAAGATATGAACATCAAACAGTTTATCAACAACTTTAAGCACAATACTCAACAACTTATGTGAAAATTGGAAAAATATAATAAAAGATTTAAACACAGAACTTGTCAGTTCTTTCTGATGAAAGTTATATATATATATATAAAATCACTAAGTATGTAGCCTAATAATGAAAAATGCATTTCATTTGTTATAAAGCTTTCATTCCAAAGTATTAAGAGGAAAATTTTGTGAGAAACAAAAAATACTGAAATATTATGTAATATCAGTCCTACTATATGGCACTTAATGCTAGACAATCTTATCACAGATGAACAGACTTGAAGCAACAGAAATGTAATTTTATAGAAGGATACTGAAAATACCATGAACTGAACACATGAGCAATGACAGTTTTAGAGAAAATGTAAACAAAAAGTACACCTATACTTAACATCAGAAATGGATAGTTAAAATTTCTAGTTCACATAATGAGGAAAGAGGGCTTAAAAAATTTGATATACACAGATTGAAGGCAACAGTAATAGAGGAAAACAACACTTACTATCTAGCTTGAGTAAATGGATGTCAGAACAGGGTTTAGGAGAGATTACAAAATTTATTAAGAGCTACAAAAGAAATTGTGGAGAGCTATTATCACTTATGTCCTGAAGAGATATGGCACACAGAAGAATAAAGCAATCATTCACCCTAATGATAATATTTATATCAAGTAGGATTTGTTATAATCCTTAGATGTGCTTTTATATTATACTTAGGTATAGCAATAAATGATGAAAAATACAATAAACTAATCCAGCAGAAAGGCTTCTGATCAGGAGACTGGCATGTTTGAGGAGTGTGGAACTACCTCTTAATTGCTGCTGTTCTAAGGTCCACCCTGGCCCAGAGTGGTAACACCTGCTAGGGTCCCTGCTATTGGCAAATGGAGAACTACCAAACAAAAAACAAAACAATAGGGAAATATAAAAATCCATTTTTATAGCAAACTGGCTCTCCAATACAGCACTAAAGTATAAAAATCCATTTTTATAAAAAATTCCCAACAATACATTTTTGTAGTAAAATTACTAGTAATACATTTTTAAAAAGATTTCCAACAATATATTTTATGATCTACAAACAATATATATGAAAAATGTTTTCCCTGAAAGTGTAAAATTATGTACAAAATATATGTAGTTGAAGCCATAAAGTTGTGTACAAAATATTTAGATTTTGGCATTAAATAACACATAGGGATTGATATGGTGCTAAACAAAAGCAACCAAACCAAAAATGCAATTCTATTTCACAAAAATATTTATTTTTCAATATAATTTTATTTCCTGTCAATGCACTTGATTCAATATTTAGCTAATAGCTATTATGTATTTTAATGATCCTTTTTTGTGCAAAGCCCATTAAGTGTGATTTATTTTTTATCTTAATAACTTCTTTGATTTTTTTTTTCCAGACATTTTTTCATCTTGAATCATATAATTAGGTATCTGAATTCATGTCCATTTCTCTTTCTACTTGTCCTCTTTTCTTCTCTCTGACCATCAACCATATCATGTAGAATTACCAGTTTAATTTAGGATCACTGATGTTAAGCAATGTCAAGCCTGGTCAGTACATAGATGGGTGACTGCTTGGGAATACCAGGTGCTGTAAGCTTGAATGTGTGGGTGGTGTAAAAGATAACGGCTCAAAGTTGTTAATTGGAGAGTGGAGTTCCAATTTCAGTTGGATTTGTTATATTCACTTACACACAAATATGAATCCACCTCTTCTCTCCTCACTAGGTATGGGTTAATTAGTAAGACTTGTATCACTACACCATTATTATATCAAAAAAAAATCTTCCAATCCAAAAATATTTTCTGGCTTTTAATAACCTGCAAAAGCTTGATAAGCTGAAGAAAAATCAATCAATTAATCTGACTCTCTCTCTCGTCTTTTACCAGTTTCTATTTCCCTCTAGCATCTAACCTCTCATCCTTTTTTCTCACCGGCCTCTTTTTTTTTTTTTTTTTTTTTTTTCTTTTTGCCTCTTTCTGTTCTCTCTCTCATCTATTTTTTTCTCTGTCCTCTTTCTGCTCTTTCTCATCCTTTTTTTTCTCTTTCCATTCTCTCTCATTGTTTTTCTTTGTTCTCTTTCTGCTCTCTTTTTTTCCCTATGGGCTTTTCTTTTTCTTTTTTGTTTTCATTTCCAGCCTCTCTCTCACTCTCTACTCTATCTTTTATTTATTTATATTTTTCCAGCATTTATTCTACTCTTTGTGTTTTTCTCTCCCTTACCTCTCACTGCTTTCATCATTGTCTTTTTATCTCTTGTTTCTTATCTGTCTCTTTCTGCCCAGTTTCTTCTCCTCATTTTTTTTATTTCATTTTTTTTTTTTTTTTTTTTTTTGGACTCCCTTTTTGTTTTTCTGTTTGGTCATTCAGACAGTTTTCTTTCCTCCTTTTATCCTTTCTTCTTTCCTTTACTATTTTCTTCATTCTTTATCACTTTTTCTTTCACTCCCCTCACTCTTTTCCACTTCTATTTTTACTCAATGCTACCAATAACCTGCATTGAAACTTCTAATTGCAAAAACATGTCTACCCTACATCAAAGAATTGATTCTTTTTTCAAGTCATTCATCACCAAGACTAGCAGCAGACAAGATTCCATTTTAGATGTACAGGAAAAATGAAAGTAGATCTGATAAACTTTTATTGCTTGTTTCAAACCTTTATTTCATAGTTTCTGTTGTGGGATGGGGAGATCTCTTTGAAATTGTGAATTTGAAAAAAAATGAAATAGATAAAATTGTCTTTTAAGACATTTTTTTTCAATTCACCAAATTTAAATTTAACTGAAAAGTTTTAAAGAATGTATTACTATAAAATAATACTCATATTCTTGTTTTTATTTCTTTCAAATTTTCAATGCATTTTTATATTCATATAATGTGTGGTGTATTACTATGTTTTTATTATACATAGATAAATCAATAACTACTCCAACCTAATGATAAAGAAAGCATTTAATTTAAAATCTTCTTTCTTGTAAATGCACTTAATTCAGTTGTGTATGTTAATTGCATAGATTGAACATTATACCAGGAATATTTTAGATCAAAATTCAGCTCGTAATTACATGTCAGTCTGTCAACTTGTTGATCGATCCTTGAACATATTTTGGCAGTAAATTTTATTGACAATAAACCTTTATTTTCAGCAGCACTTAGGCGATTGCAATAACTTTCAATGATTTAGTGTCTATTAAATATGTGTATTTACAAATGTACACTATAGGCCACCCTTTGTATTTCAAAATATCACTTACAAATTGAAGGTTTTGTACCTATTCAAAACTAATTTACCAGCTCACTTTAGACCAGAGGGTTTTTCTCTTCCTGAAAGTTTTTATCATATATACACTAATAACAAAATTAACCCATTATTGCATAAAGTTTCCCTAAAATTTTAGCTTTTTTTGCCTAATCTATCCTAGTGGCTAATGTTGATCTTAGGGTTGTCAGATTTTAAATTTTAGGTCCCTCCTAAAAAAAAAAAATTAAATATTGTGCACTAATAGGTTAAATAGTTTCAGCATCCTACCTTAGTAGGAGTTAATTAAACCAAAGAAGGCATGGAACATACTAATTATTAAATCTAGAGTGTGGCCCCAATCTTTTGGCCCACTTTTTTGGCCCCCATATGTTTCTGTTGGTTCTTGTGCCAAGGTATGTAAATGTATGTAAAACTAGTTCTAGATTAAATGTCATTTCTAACTTAGTTTGCTGATTACAACTGTTTTAAAAAAAAGAAATCTGTACCTGTAATAAAAAAAATTGAATATATTCATTTAAAAAAATATCAGTTTTATAACCCTGTCAATTCATGAATATAAAACACTCCAGCATTTTATGTGAAAATGCAGTAGTAAGTCAAGTAAAAAAAAAAAAAAAAAATTAGCATTATATATGGTTATATAAATGTTAATAGGATTACATCTGTTTAGATTTCATATTTTTTTTAATGACTAGCATCATTTAAAAAGATGGCTTTTGATTACATTATGACAGCTGTTATATTAGCACACATTTGAAAAAAAAAAAGACAATTATGGCATATTTTTATTTATTGATTCTGACATTAAAGAGGGAAGAAAATAAACAGTATTTTTGGCATATTATGCTTTTTTTATTTTAAAAATGTAACAAATACAAAAGAATGAAATGTAGTTTATGGAGACGGTACAGTAAAATAATCATGTCAAAAGGAGTTTTTTGGTAACAATTAGCGGTTTCTTTATTAGGGAATATTTGGCATTTATTGTCCGAGCAGCTTGTACTATTATCAGTTGAAATTTATAGGATCTTTTTCTTAAAACTGTTTTTCAGGAAAATTCTCAAGTTCAACAACTGTTATCAATCTTTCCAGTATTGATGGAGGATCTTTCCTAACTGTTTATTAGAGTTAGTGTGGAATGTCAACATCTAATCAATTATTTTCTCTTTAAGTTATGTGTGATATCCATTTTAGCTGTTGCTTATGTTGAAAGTCAAGTGATGTGATTTCTGTTATCTGGCACAGTTCTTTGTTTGTGGTTCTGCCGTGCCAGTCCATAAGGTCTGAAGGAGTGTAGTCATTTAGTGAAATATATGTACTACATTTTAATGGATAATATGGTACAAATTAAAAAAAAAATTACATGCAGATGGCTGTACTACAAGGTTGTATTATACTGAACGGTGTAATTTATTCCCTTTTCTTAGCTTCAGAAACATGGAGTCTTATTATACTGAAGTTGTACTACACAGAAGAAATATATGCTTACACAGTGGATTTTGAAACCTTTAAGGTAACTATTAATTTAATGAAAGTTTTCACAAACATTTATAGCAATTACCTGCAGCTAAACCAGGCTTATGGACATACATGTTGAAACACCAGTTTTTGTACAATCACTGAAGTTAAGCAATGTCAAGCCTGGTCAGTACCTAGATGGGTAACCATTTAGGAATACCAGATGCTGTAAGCTTAGATGTGTGGGAGGTGTAATGAATAATGGCTGGGAAATGAAGATCGCAGAGACAAGTTCCAATTCCAATCAGGTTTGTTATATTCACTTATGTGCAAATATGCTGGGAAAGGTATAAATCTACCTCTTCTCTGCAAAAGCTATATCTAAAAAAAATTCTCTGGCTTTAAATAGCCTGAAAATGTTGATAAGCCATAAAAATCAATCAAGATAAACCATTTTTATGGAAGTAACCAGTAAAGGATTGAACTTAATTTATAACTCCAGGCTATTCTCAAAATTTAAGTTGGTCAGATGGAGAGAAATTTTTTGATCATTTGGGGCTAGGATTTTTTTATTTTCTGTTTTGTCAATGCATCCTCAACACAAAGAGGATATGAAATCATCAAGTGGTTAAAAAGCAAAACAGGTTCCATGTTTAAACAAGATGACTCTTTTCTCTGAGCTGTCATATTCAAATGTGGTGCTGATGTGTTAACCCCTCAAATCTGACAGTGATTTTTGGGAAGGGTTCCATATTGACACAGTACACTCCACCATGTTTACCCTTTCCTGTATGCTTTCAACCCAACACCACCTTGACTGATATCATTTGCCTGACCATGAGCCATTGTGTTCACTTGGGATTCATTTTGAAAATGGGCATGCTGTTTCTATAGTGACTGGCAGGTTGGTGGGGGGATCTAGGGGTGGGTAGAGGTAATGGAACTGAATTGTGTGTGTAAGCTTTCTTCTGGCAGATATCTAGGGAAAGGAAAGTTATTAATCATCATTAATGTTTATTCTTGCCATGATTCATTATTTATAAATATTTACACATGCACATTTATACACCCCCACAACTGATATGTGTTATGTTACATTCACTTACATGCAGATACCCTAAGGTATAAATTCATCTCTTCATATCCTAGTTGTGTGTTAAATCATAGGGCAAACTGGGCTCTTTAGCCTTGGTTGGCAAACAGTCTAGGAGGAAGAAAACTGAATTCTAAACCTGAAGAGGGTTGTTTGGAGACCTTGTGGCACACTATGTGCACTGGTTCTCTGTGGGTTGTCTGGCTATTTGCTTCTAAAAACTGAGCTTCTGGACTTTCATGCATTGAAGATGATGGGGAAAGTCCATCATATCCCATTTTAATACATTTCACTGAACACAACCGATAAAGTACTTTTTAGATTTTTATTATATTTTTCTTGTATATGTACATGTGTTCTATTTTCTGGACTTAATGTGTAAAAGTTGTCCAGATGTTTGATTCCAAGTGTTTTCAGCTAAAAAAAAAAATAATAAAAATGGAACAACAGCATGTTGTCAGTCTTGTTCAACAGAATATATATTTGAGAAAGTACCTTCCTCTTTCTAAAATTTATATTTTACAATGGCAACTGACCAATATCTTGGTATTATCTTGGTTCATTAAAAAAAATCATATACATTATGGCAGTAACATTTACTTTTAAAGATAATGATGGATGAATTTATGAGCAAAAATTGGAAAAAATCATTTTTATATGAACACAAATGATTTCTGACATAAAATATTCAACATCATGGTTGAAAGTTATGATTTTTTTATCTATCACATCAACTGCAGTCAAGATTATAAACCCAATGTGAACTCCACTATCCTTTTAGTGGTTGTATAGTATGTGCTATGCTTGGGCTACATACAGTTTTGAATTCGGGGTTGTCCTTCTTCAAGACTAGTTGCCAGTTATGGCTAGAGAGCCCATTCTGCTAAAACCATGCAATTTAATCCATAGTGACCTGGAACTAGAAATATCTAGATACTTAGGAACAAAAAAACTTGGAAAAATTCATTTATTTCAAACCTCCACAAAAAGATAGAAAATATATGGCTGTGGCAGTCATATAGCAAGTCCCACAAACCAACAGTCTTGTAATATTGTGAGAAGTTACTGGGATGCCTTGAGTTAGTGATACTATTTCGACCCTGAACTAATGCACTGATCCCAGGGTTTTCCTCTGAAGACTTTGCTAGAACTACTGCAGATGTATTTCAGCTGTGTGTGTATCTGTCTGTCTGTCTGAATATTATACAGGGTGTGGCAGAAATACTTCCCACATTTTAAAGGTTGACAAAAATGCCAAAGTAACTACTATTAAAAAATTTATTTCACTGTTTAAATAAAGAGATACAGTTTTTAGTCATTTGGTTTTAAAAATGACCTGATAGCCTCTATTTGCCATACATTGTTGTAGATGATTTCTAAAGTTTTCTATCACCGAAAACAATCATTTTCTGGAGTTCAAGATCTTTAGGTGGATTTCTTTTAACCCTTTGAGCCCTGACCACCGCTTTTACTGGTGGTAGAGAAAAATGATGTAATGGCCAGCCACCGGTTGAACAGTGGTAGAAAAAAATGACTTAATGCCCAGTTATCAGTTGAATGGTGGGTAAACACTTGTAACTATTTTTATATCTACTGTGAAACATTGCATACCAATTATTTGCAAATTTTAACTCCGGAGCTCAGGCGGAAGGGTTAAAATTCTTCAGGACCGTAGGGCTCAAAAGATT